AAGATTATCTTCTGTGTCTGTGTTAATTGGTTTCCCTTTTCTTTGTTGAAGAGGGTCTGTGCAATCCTTCTGCCTAGTCCGCCATCTTGCCCCTGTTGCTGTCATTTTTGTTATGTGCTTTTTCTTGGTGTTGATACCTTTATTCCATATAATTTTCTATGCTGAGCTCATTTTGTTTATGAATCATATTATCACTTCATTTGTTGCTACTGTTTTAGTATTTGCTAAATATTTGTGCTGGTCCTCTTTTTTATTTTGATGTGAAGGTTTATCATTTTCCTTTGAGGTTACCTAACTGTGATTTATAATTTTCTTCCCAAGTTTTAAACAGTCCATTCTATCTTGTAGTTGTCTTGACTTCCCTACCATCTACAAGTTCTGTAATGACACAGTTTTTTCCCTCTTCCTGGTTTGTAGTTGTCCTAATTTGTCAGTTGATGTCTCTGGTTCCCTATTTACAATCTTGTTGACCTATTTACTTTGGATACTTTCATAACTGGGCTGGTTTCTGGGTTATGTCATCGTGTGTGTTAATGGTCAGTTGTCGTTTGCTGTTGTTGCTTCTCTGTCTAAAGGACTCTCTTTAGCATCTCTTGTAAGGTTGGTCTGGTTTTAATAAATTCCCTTAATTTCTGCTTATCTGGAAATGTCCTAATTTCACCATCATATTTGAGGGACAATTTTGCTAAGTATATAATTGTTGGTTGGAAATTTTTCTCTTTCCGGGTTTTATATATGCAATTCAATTGTCTTCTCACCTGCATGGTTTGTCCCAAGAAATCCAAGCTTAATCTTATTGGTTGCCCTTTGTAGGTAACTTTTTAATTTTCCCTTGCTGCTTTCAGGACTCTTTCCATGTCTTTGGTTTTGGTGAGTTTGATGATGATAAGTCTTGGTGATTTTCTTTTGGGGTCTATCCTGTTTGGGGTTCGTTGGACTTCCTGAATGGATATATTCTCAACTTTCATCATATCAGGAAATCTCTCTTCCAACAAATCTTCGAAAATTTTCTATGTGGTTTTATTTGACTCTTGCTGTTCTGGAATTCCGATTACATGTAGATTATTCCTTTTGTAGGAGCTCTGGTAGCATAGTGCCTAAGGCACTTGACTGCTAACCAGAAGGATGGCAGTTCAAACCCACCAGCCACTCCTCGGAAGGAAGGTTGGGCAATCTACTTCTGTAGTGATACTGCCTGACAACCCAAGGAGGGGTCACTATGAGCGGGACCAACTCAGTGGCACATAAAACAACAAACATCCCTTTTGTTGGTATCTCACATGAACCTTAGGCTTTCTTCATTCTGTTTTGATCTTTTTTCTGATTGATCTCTTTCCAAAGAAGTGTTCTGGTATTGCCTTCAATCTCAGTAAGTCTGTCTTCCATTGATTCAGTTCTACTCCTTTGCCTATTCAGTGTCTTATCTATTTCTGAAAATTTAGTACCTGGATTTCTTTGTATATTGTATCATTTCTAATTTTTCAATTTTTTTTGTTGTCATTTTGTTCTTGTATTATCTTTTGAAATTGTTCTGTGTTTTCCTCAATTTTGTCAGTGTTTTTACTTGATCTGTCTCTCAATTTGTTGAAGATACCTCAATATAATTCTTTTGAATTCCTTATCAGGGAGTTCCAATGCTGCATCTTCCTCAGGGATGTGTTTTGGGTCTATATCCTAGTCCCTTGTTTCTCCTGCTTTATCTTGCTTCTTTGTGTGCACTATGACGCTCTGTTGTCTCCAAGGCATTGTGACGTATTTGTGTTTACATTTAATTGGGATTGTACATTGGAGTGACTTGCCCAGGTGTTTTGTTTTGTTTTGTTTGTAGGTTATCTATGTAAGCAGAGTACTGTGCTGTGCTCCTCTGCTAGTTGCAGCACTTACACACTCACCACCTGTCTCCTTTCCTGTTATCAGCCTTTCATATGTCCCTGCCATCTTTGCAAACAGAGCTTATTCTTAGGTCCCTGTAATCTGAATGAGAATTCTGGCACTTTAAAATCCAAAATGGCTGCCACTTGTAAACATTCAAAATGGCTGCATCCTTGGTCACTTTAAATATCCGAAATGGCTGCCACGTGTAAACAATCAAAATGGCCGCACCCTCTGGACAGCAGAAAGTCCACAGCTCAGGTTGTCTCCCTCCTTGCTGTTCCCCTTCCTGGTCACAGGCAACCAGCACAGTTGTCCCTGCAGCCCTTGGTGACCAGGGCCGATCATTTGGTCAATTCTCAGGTCCCAACACCACTTGGAAATATTCAGACTATTGGTCCCGTCAGAGTAGCTGACAGTCCACTCCTCTGACTGTCTGTGTACTCACTGTTTTCGTTCAGGTTTTTCTAGCAGTTGGTGCCTCATTCACTTCTGTATACTTCCTTTCAAAGCTCAGGGCTCCAGGATTATCTTCTGTATCTCTGTCAATTGGTTTCCCTTTTCTTTGTTGAGGAGGATCTGTGTGGCTTTTCTGCCTATTCTTCCATCTTACTGGCATTTCCCATGCTTTTCTTTTTAAAATGCATTTCTCGATGTGCCTTTTCAAATATAATTTAATTTACAAAATTTAGACAAAGTTCTTTCTTTCTCAGTATAAACTTATCTTCATAACTTATTTCTGTTCTGTTTCTATTAATTTATATGAGCAATTGAGAGCTTGAAGTTAATGCTTTGATAGAACTTTTCACATTTAACAGAGTAGAAAAACAAATAGCCTAATTAGGAAATAAGCGGGAAGATCTAAAAGTAAAAGTTAAGGCTTATAAATAAGGGAGTATATGGAAATAGATTTGTAACCTTGGAAAGCCTTCTTTAAGATGTAAAATCAAAATCTTTAAAGGAAAAGATTGGTAAATGTTATTTAGCATCAAAAGTTTAGAGTTCTTTATAACAAAAGACATCTTGAACAAACATAATACAAGAAAAATACTGGGAAAACATATTTTTACCATACGTAACAAAGTATTACTAGCCAGTATATATTTTGAAATGTATCCTACAAGCACAAAACAAGAAAACAATTCGACAAAAAAAATCAGCCAAAAATGTGAATAGATGGGTATCAGAAGAGTAGTACGTATGGACAGTACACACACAAAGATGTCCCACTTCTCTAGTAATCAGGGAAATGCAAGGTGAAACAATACTGAAATAGGTCTTTCCCCCCCCCCCATCAGATTATCAAAGATTAAAATGATTGATAATATTAGGTGTTAAGTATGGGAACTAGTATTATCATACACTGTTGGATATAAGTCGGTACAACTTTTTTTTTTTTCTTTTTAATGTGATTTGGGTGAAAGTTTACAGGGCAGATTCATTTTCTACATAGCAGTTCATACACATTTTGTCTCATGACATTGATTGCAATTTCCCACAATGCAACAGCTCTCTTCCCACTTCCTCCCTATGGTTACCTCTTCCCTGTGTCTTTCCCTCCCATGCACTCCTACCCCCTGAGCGGTCTCCCTGTGTATACACTGCCCTTCTGTTCTCCCGTGATTGATCTCTCCAAGGAGTGTATCTACCTGATGTAAATGATCAGCCCATATGCTGGTCTTTTGTTTGGCTGGAAGCCACAGGAGTGAGTTCAATTCAAGACCTGAAGGGTAGCAGGGTCCATAGTCTCACCAGGCTCTATCAGAGCAACAAATCTGGTCCTTTTATTTTTAATAATTTTGAGTTTTGTCTCACATTGTTCTCCAACTCTATCCAGGATCTCCTATGCATATCCCCCTCCAAGCAGTTGACATGGTAGCTGGGCACCATCTAGTTCTGGTCTCATAGTCATATAGGTGGAGGATCACATGGTCTACCACTCCCTTGGACTAATTGTTTCCATGTGTCTTTGGTTTTCTTCATTCTTTTTTGCTCTGGACAAGGAGAAACCCATCATTGCATCTAGATGGCCTCTTGCAAGCTTTTAACATCCCAGTTGTTACTCACCAAAGCAGGATGTAGAACAGTGTTTTTGTGTAGTATATTATGTCAATTGAGCTTGATGTCCCCTGGCACTATCATCTCAAGCCCACTGGTCTAACTACCCACTCCCTCCGGGTAAGTGACCACAACCTTGTTCCTTGTCAGTCTACTGTACACCTGGACATTCTTACAGCACATACAAATATACTTGTAGAAACATCTTCTGCCAGCCTTATTATATATGACCATAGGCACACTAATCCCTGCCTAGAAATACCTGATCATTCAGCTCTCCACCCATCTATCTACCTGGCATCTGTCTTTAAATTATAGGAAAAATCTTTCTTTTTATTAATATGTCAAAATGTAAGACGTTACAACTTAAGTTGTGGTTTTTTTTTTCCCATCTTCTTTTTCAATCTATAATTAACTATAATTCCTAATCCTGCTATAGATCTATTGATGTATAGATCAATTGATACAACCATTTGTTTTGTTTTGTTTTGATTTGGGTGAAAGTTTACAGAGCAAATGCACTTTTCATACAGCAGCTCACATATACTTTGTCTCGTGACATTAACTGCAATTTCCCACAATGCAACAGCTCCCCTCCCAGTTCTTCTCCATAGTTACCTCTTCCCTGTGTCCTTCCCTCTTATGCACTCCTGCCCCCCAAGTGGTCTCCCTGTGAATACACAGCCCTTCTGTTCTCCCATGATTGATCTCTCCAGGGAATGTGTCTACCTAGTGTAAATGTTCAACTCATATGCCTCTCTTTTCTTTGGCTAGAAGCCACAGGAATGAGTTCAGTTTCAGACCTTAAGGGCAGCTAGAGACCATAGTCTCAGTGGTTCCACCAGGCTCTGGTCCCTTTTTTTTTTTTTTTTTTTTCTTCCCCCAATTATTTTGAGTTTTGTTTCACATTGTTCTCCACACTATCCAGGATCTCTTACATAGATCCCCATCCAAGTGGGATACAACCAGTTTTGAAGGCAACTTGGGAGTACAAATTATAACTTAAAATGTGTATACACTTTTACTTAGCAATTCTATTTCTTTGTATCTTTCCTGGAAAAATTTTTGTATATGTGTCAGAAAAGGCATCTAGAAAAATTTTTATTGCAGTGTTATTTGTAATGGTGAAAAATTGAGAACAAGCTAAATAGCAACAGGGAAATGGTAGCTAAACTATAGTGTATTTATATTGAGACATTCTGTGCAGCAGTTCAAGATAATTATATTATCCATGGAAATGCATGCATATTGTCAAGTGGTTTAAGATGGTATCAGATTATGTGAAAAAAGAAAGAACCCATAAAATATTAAGGCACTTACTTCTCAGGAGTAATAGCATAGTTTTTTGTTTGTTTGTTTGTTGTTGTTTTCACCAAACATCCTGTTTGTATTCAGAAATCTTTGATCTCATAAATATTTTCCTTGCAATTTGTTTGCTCAAATCAGGGTCCAAGCATTACAGCTGATTGATGCCTTATATCTCTCCTTTTTTTAATGTCATACTTTTAAATGGCTTGTTATGCAATCGAATGTATTTGACCTGTTGATGGAAGTTTTACTTTCCACAGGTGAGAAACCTCTTTCTCTTACAACAGCACTGCAAAAAAAGAGAAGTTATAGCAATGCATTTAACCATCTCGGTGCTGTGCGCTTACAAGAGAGTGATTCTTTAGCCGCCAGCATTGATCCCAAGGAAGATCACAATTACAGTGCGAGCAGCATGGCAGCACAGCGGTGTGTGTCCAGGTCTAGTGTGTCGTCCCTGTCTTCTGTGGATGAGGTATATGAATTTATCCCAAAGAGTAGCCATGTGGGAAGTGATGGCAGTGAAGGATTTCATAGTGAAGAAGATACAGACGTTGATTACGAAGATGATCCTCTTGGAGACAGTGGCTATGCATCACAGGCTTGTGCAGATACCTCTGAAAAAGGACAGCCAGTCAAAAAGATGCAAAAGCAGTCATGTCAGGAAATTGATGAGGAGCTCAAAGAGGCAGCTGGATCTCTGCTGCACCTTGCTGGAATTCGTACATGTCTGGGTTCCCTAATAAGTACTGTTAAGACACAAAATCAAAAGCAGCGCAAGAAATAGAAATCCTTTTCAGTGTGAAGTTATTTTAAAGTGTGGCAATACTCTTCTACTTTATTCTTTACAAGGGATGTCAAAGCCATAATGGACTTCTTTAGTTTGGGGGCGGGGAGGGGTGCTAATTACTTATTTCTTTCCAAACGTTTATGTTTTATTTTTATTAAATAATTACTGTTAGGATCATGCCCAATCATAAATATATGATGTGAAGTCCTAAAAAGATAATTTTTGTGGTATGTGTCTCCAAGATTTGGAAATTTTTATATAATGAAAATACCTGCCATCTGTCTTTAAGTTATAGGAAAAATCTTTCTTTCTATTAACATGTCAAAATGTAAGACGTTACAACTTAAGTTGTGTTTTTTTTTCCCATCTTCTTTTTCAATCTGTAATTAACTATAATTACTAATCCTGCTAAAAATTTTGCTGGTGTTTTTCTTGTATATTCCTTCCCTAACACACACAATCCAATAGGGTAAAGTGTGGATGTTTTATTTTGTCTTAGTTTTTGTTTTTATTTTCTTTTATTTGAGGCATGAACAAAGTCAAATGTAAGTTGGAAAAGATCCTAGATGTCTAGTAAGTTCCTTTTCATTACATAGATAGAATACAACAAAGAGTTGTAAAAGGTTTAGAAGATGCAGTTTCGTGGTATTTTTACCTTGACAACACTCCAGTTCCTACTACAATGTAAATCTTTGAAGTTTTTTCTTCACAGATATTATATAGCATTTATTGAACCCTCTTGCTCTGTCCCAAAGTACTTTGCAACCATTGTTTAAGTTTTAGTCACTAACTGTCTTTGTTGAGTAGAAACTATCCAGTGAGAGGATATAGCCATAGAGTGTGTTATGAATAACACTCATTTTGACACACTTTTGCAATAAGAGAATTTTTCATTTGCTTGTTAAATGTTCTGAATCCTGAAAATCTTGTAATAGGAATGGAATATAATCAAAACATTTGAATGCTTATTTTACTTTATCTAATCATTAAAGTAGGTCATTCAGGAAAAAAAACTTCTGTCCAAGCTCTGTATGAATTAAATTTGTATGTATACCTAATTTCAAAGGATTTAACAAAACTAAAGAGAAAAAATGATCTCATGGATTGTTAAAATATGTGTAAAATGAAATCTTATACAGTATATACCCTTCATCAAGTCATAGTGACCCTGTAGGACAGACTAGAACTTTCCCATAGGGTTTCCAAGGCTGAACATCTTTACAGAAGCTGACTGCCATACCTTTTTCCCATGGAGCTGCTGGTGGGCTTGAACTACCAACCTTTTGGTTAGCAGCCAAACACCTTAACCACTGTGTCACCAGGGCTCCTGTAATATCTGTGTGTGCCATACATTCTTGCTAAAAGATTTTATATTGCTGTTCCAAAAGTGAAGTGACTAAAATGTTTTAAGTATTTGAAGAAATCTGCTTGTATGAGACCGTTTCTTCATAGTATCATTTGTATAATTTGTATTATTCAGAAAGAACAAGGGGTGGTAGTAAAACTGAACTTATTCATTATATTTTTTCAATAATATTTGAAAAAAGTTGTAACTTAACTCCTGCTACCCCTGTTTCATACACAATGACTTAGTTTTTGTTTTACTGATAATTTCCTGTATCAGTATACGCAAACAATAGCAGGCTCATGATGTTGGTTTATAAAGCATTTTCTTGGATTAAAAAAATAAAAATAACAGTTATTCCTATTTTAACTTAAATTTTATTTAGGCAAAACTGTCAAATGAGACACATGTTTTAAAATGCAAATACCTTTTTGAATTAGTAAGACTTTAAGCCAAGCGTAACAACATTAATATTCTCAGGTTGTTTTTTTTTTCCCTTATGTTAATTAGTTGTAATTGAACTTGGATAGCCACATTAATAGACTTGATGCTGTTGAACTATAGCAATTTTTAAATTCTTTGATAATGAAAAATAGTCCTTAAGCATGCAGGATGATGTATTTGGACCTTTTTTCTTCATATATGTCCCACCTACTACAGAAAATGGCTAATCCAAGTTAACACCTTTTACCATAGGCAGTGAATATAACAACAAAAAGTGCTCTTACCACAATATAAATAGTGATCACATTATAAAGATCATTTTAATAAAAATATTTCAGCAGACTTTATAAGCTATTTACCATGGCCCTGTGGATAGACTTTAGCAACAGTGTTTCAGTGATCTGGTTGAGTTTATTCTGTTTTATTGAAACTCTGTACCACCAGTGTTCTCCCCTTATTAGATGTCTATTAGATGATCAGTCTTTATAAGTAAAGGAATATAATCCGAGATAAAGAAGGAGTAGAGGTGCTCTCAGTAGTAGCAGAATTCTTCAGAATTCTTTTGCCTTAACATAAGTAACAACTCTTTAAATCTCTTCATTTTCTCTCCCTCTTTATGTATTTTTCCTACAAATAAAAAATTTTAAGTTACATTCATTGCTAGCAAGGAAAATAAACATTTGTGCACTGAAAACTAACAGGATAGCAGAAGTTACAGATATTTTACACTTAATTTTTATACAGATTTCAGCACATGGCTTTCCATTTGCTAATATACCAAGGTAGTTATTTTCAAAGAGAAAAATGTTTCAAATTGCACAGTCCTTGTCTCCCTACTACTACTTTCGTGGAGATTATCACCGTATTCCTCTGGTGTGTTGACAGAGAAACATGGCTAATAACTACCCAATTAAGGAACATTAATTACTCCAAGGTGTATGGACTGGAAATTGTATTTTCATAATATATTAGTAACAAATCTTACTGTAATAAAAACAACTTGGAAATTGGAGTGGTTTCACACAGGGAGATGTCTTAACATATTTTACAACTATGACTTAACATATAGTTTTGCCTCATAAAATGTTAAATTGGAAAAAAATAAATGAATTATGTTGCAGCTGATTCCAGTTCATAGTAGAATCCCTGGTAAAAGTTTTGACTCGGTGCAATTTATCTTCATCTTTTACATCCTACATAGAATCAGTTTGGTTTTTAAAATATATATATATTTGAAATTTATTTGTGCAATATGTTACTAAATTAGTTAATATTTTATTTTACTTTTAAAATTTAGAGAAAGCCAACAGATTGTCTTCATAGAAAAACTAACCAAGGATGGATCACCTCCTCTTCCACATTTGGTCCTTGCCTGTCCTCCTCATAGCTAGCATGACTTCTCTTAGCTTAGGTTCCTTTGTATGTTGTGAAGTTTAGTATATGTAAGTACTTTTTTTTTTTTTTTCCTTTTGCTACTTTCTGAGGTATTATGTAAAGGGTCATACTAGGTGGTCAATTAAATATTTTAGCATGAATTCAAAGCTGGAGAAATTGCCATGGAGGGAATGGTCATGGTAGACCAGCAAGCTTTTCCCAACAATTAAAGCAACAGATGAGAAGACTTCACAAAATTATAGATTGTTCTTAAATATTACAGTAACTTAACAACATTCTGTGGAGACCGTAGCATTTAATTATGAAACTTTGAGGCTTTCTGGTTTACATATATTTTATAGTTTTTCTTTAGTTTGAAATGTGTAAGCTTTGATTAAAACAAAGTTTACTTCAGTATATTAATGATGTAGTCGAAATATTTATTGAAAGGCAAAGTATTTTAATGTTACACCTGCCATTTTTTTCCTAAAGCACATTCTTTGTATCTGACTGCCAGTGCCATTGTCAAACTTTGTTTTAAATTGTTGTATGTTTCTTATTAAACTAAGTGCTTAATTTTAAAGTATTATGTTGCCATCATACAGTGTATAAAAATGTATAATTGCCAATTCATTGTAACTATTATTTATTTTTAAATGAAAGTGTAAGAATGCTGTCTGATTCAAGAAATTTGAGATATTAAACTGTTTCCTCATCCTCTTTTCTGATGTAGCATAAAAATATATCTGAGTTTGAGTTATAACTGCCAGTAAATTACCAGTCACGAGTAAGCCACTTCTCAGTTGCCAGTCTTTTGTTCATATTAAAAACAATTTACAAATGTTTAGTTTTTGTATCTAATCTCGTTATTAAAATGTTTATAAAGTTTATTTTTACCAAAGAGATCAATTCATTATGATAAAGTATTGCAGAATAAACTTTGTTTTATAACATTTTTGTGCTGTTTATTTGTGGCGAGGGGGAGGGATGGAGTAGATGTAGATGGTTCATACTCCTACACACACACACACACACACACACACCCCTTTCCGTTGCAGTTTTACAAAATTGGAGTTGGGCAAATGAAAAAACATGTTTCAATTTCAGAACTTAAAGAATCTTCTATTTTTGAAAGTTGTTTTTCCTATTTTTTTTTTATTTTTTTACTTATCATCATAATTACTGAAAGCTGAAATGGTATTGACTAAGTGATCCTTTACCTAAAGTTGAGCTTTTTTTCCCCTGTTCATGTATTTTAAAGGGAAAAAAGTGTGTGCTGTTTTAAAATATAACAAAAATTGACTAATATATAAAATTATTAAAAATTATTTTTAAGTGCACTAATGTAACTTCAAAAATTGCAGTAATATCACTGTTTAAAAATTGGTGTATCCACTATTAAAAGGAATCATCTAAGACCAATGTCTTTATCTTGTTTTCCTCCACTTTTAGTCCTTCACTGGTAATCTGAATAGTATTTTCTACAGAGTTCCTGATTTAAAATGAGTCAAGTGAGACAACCATATTGATTATAAACCACCACCACCCTCTCTCTGCCTCTGTTTCCTCCAAGGCACGCCTTTGAAGTACATCGGTCACTTAAAAAAATAGCTATAAAGGAGCCATGTATTTGTTCCATAAAAGAATGTTAGTCTCACTTTTGCATTTATTATTTTCTAGCACATGCTAGTTCTGAAAGGGAAAGAAAAAAATTTAGAACAGTACCTATTATTAAAATAAGGGTCAAGAATGTGTTGTCTTTTCCTTAAGAATTTTAGAACATACCAATTTGATATTTTTAAATATTAGAAATAAAACTATCAACAAATGTAGA